AGAAATCTTTACATTGTTTTTGACCGATCATTTTGTATGGCAGCTATAAGCAATAATGGTCCGATTTGTAAAATATTTTTTGAGATTGTATTGTTGCTTTGGATCATAATCTGTACAGAATTTCGTGACGATATCTCGTATAATGAAAAATGTTTTCATACAATAAGGAGATTTTCAGCGGTCAATATATAGTTGCTATATATATGCTATAGTTGAGCGATCAGAACAATATGTTCGGAGATGATAGCATAGCTTTGGAAAATTACCTGTGCTGAGTTTCGTGAAGATATCTCGTAAAATTTAAGAAAATTCAATACCAGAACTTAATGTTGAACGCTCAGTTTGTATGGCAGCTAATTGCTATAGTAGTCCGATATCGGCGGTTGTTACAAGTGCGAAGTGAGGAGAAAAATACGTATGTCAAATTTCAGGTCAATAACTCTAAAACTGCGGAAATTGTTCGTATATATACTGACTGACAGGCGGAAAAATCTAAATCGACTTAGCTCGTTACGTTTATTTTATATAGTATAAGGTCTTATCTAATGAATTCAATGTGAAACATTCCAAAATTAGCAAATACTTACAAATGAAAAATTTATTTAAAAAAAAACATTTTCCAGTAGGGCAAATTGTGATTCTAAACCATTCTCGAACTCCCTTGAACACACACAAAAAAGTTCATCAAAATCAGTCTAGCCGTTTTGGAGGAGTTCAAGGAGTTCAGTGAGATACACACGCACACAAGAAATATATACATACATATAAACAAAAAAAGATATATGGCCACCGACCATTCCTTCAGGGTATTACAAACATATGGAGGGTATAAAAAAGTTCATTATGCTGCACAGCCTTCTGCCCAATTGTCTGCGCATGATGCAGCATTTATTCATACCCATTTGCACGCGCATTGAATGAGTTAAATGTGGCACGAAACATTTTAATTATTTTAAACGTTTAATAGCGGCAAAGAATAGCTCGAAAGACACACACATACATATATAAATAAAAACGTTATGACATGCCTATTTAATAGTGCAAACAAAAGGAGTAGAAGTTGTAAAAATGACAGGCAAGCAACTGCTGGCTGCATTTGTGACGACGAGACAAAAGTGCCAAGATAGTGTCGCATACACAATGAAGTACCCAAAACTAACACACACACACACACACAAATAGCAGCGCACATGCACATCAATCTACTACGTTGCAAACAAAGATTTAATGCTATAGTAAAAGACAAAAGCTGTTGAGTGCTAAATTTAGCTGTGTGCGTGCGTAATGAGTGAAGTCCTTTTAACAGGCGTTTGCGGCCGGAAATGAAGCACGCGAAAATACAAAGCAACTTACACACATACACAACTGAATACCACATAAAAGTAGTGGCATGAAAGCTTTGTGTATAGTTTGGGCGCGCGCCTTCGTTAAGCATAGGAAATCATATCTTCCCGTCGACATCAAAAATCATAATTACGCCATTTATTTCGCTTTAGTGCAGTGCCCTTCATGAAAACGCAATTGAAGGTTTCACCCTGCCCCGCCTTTGTTGCGCGGCCTAAACAAAGCTATGCTTTGGTACACAAACAAAGAAAATCACTATGCATTTACTTTTGAGTCTATTTGTCTACTAAAGCTTTGAAAGAGACCTTAGTTTTCACTGTGAAGTTTAGGGTTTGTATAGACGCATTGATATTCATACCTCATGGTTTCGACAAATGTATTAATTCAGCGCAAAGTTGTTAGCTAATTTAATGAGAGCTTAAATTTTGTAGTTAATTAATTAATACTCACGCACACACTTAAAAGCTCTGAAAAAAATATACTTTACACTAAAATTTCTTACCGCCAACAACCACTTTCAAGCTTTTAAGAAACTAGAAACTACAAAACAAAAAAAAAAAATAAAAAATATTAGAAACTGCGTTTGTCTGCTAAAGACTATATTTTCTTACCGCTTCTTACTTTGAAAATTTCTTCAACCGACAATATTTTTTGTAATAAGTATATAGATGTAGTATTAAGGAACAAGAGATTACATTTTTTTTACCACTAAAAGCTGTTTAGAAGCTTTGAAAAAGCTTTATAAAATTTTAAAATAAAAAATTACATTTTCTTAATAAGCTATTTAAAAGCTCTAGAAAAGCTCTTATTTTAAATTATAAGCTCTGAAAAAGCGTTTGAAAATTTTTATTTATTGTATTAGAAAACAACACACCCGATTTTTTTTTGCAATAACTTATTTTTCAGAAATGTCTTTACTTCTTTGCTCTGAAAGTACTTCAGTTATCCTATTTCCAACATCTGTTATAAGAGTTCCCCATAACTTAATTGAAGCAAGATCAGTAAACTGCATTACTTATTAGATATTATTTGGCAGTGCTGGATGATGCCTAAGTTTTTTCAAGAGAGCCTAATTTGTACTTTCCAGTGCTCCGACAGAGGCTTGGGAAAAACTTTTGATACTTAATTAGCAACTAAGGAGTATTAATCTTAACCTACCGAGCAAGGTTTTGATTTCTAATCAAACCCATGAAAAACTATGATAGGAAAATCTGAAAGCCAGGAGCAGGCTTTGATTTCTAGTAATACCTATAAAATGTAATGTAATGTAATGGTTTAACCTAAATTATGCTAAAAGCTATATAGGTCTATAATTATATCGAATAACAGGAGACCAGTAGTTTGGCTGCGTGTGAATATAATAAAACCCTTCAGTCATGTTATGAACCCTATGGTTTGCATCTGGTTAGAATCCGCACTACAACTGCGAAAGTCAACAATAAGTACCATAAAGCATTCAAAACTCAAGTTACAATGGAAATAAAGTCACATGTGTACATGTTTGGTACTCGGTGGCCTATACTCAAGAATTCTTCTAAACTGTTTTAGTGTAGTAAAATGGTGATTTACATATTAATATAATGCTTTGAGAAGCCAGATAAAACTCCTGTAATCAGATATTAACTGTAGCGGTAGAAAGCTTTCTTGCAGTAATTTCGAGGCATGCTGCCGGGTGGACAGTTCTTGGCCGAATAAAAATCTGTGTCCGTTCCGGTTACTTAGACACGACTAAAAGATCCGGTCGCTTAGAGCCGACTGGGAATTAAATGTCTAATACGATAGTTCTAAATTTCATATTTTTTTAACTGAAAAAGGCGAATAACATTTGAAAAGAAAGTGTTGCGATGATTTTATCTCAATTTCTTCCAGGCAGCTAATTCAACAGTTAGTATCTACGTCTACAATTATTGAAAGACTCACTAGATCTCTCAACCTTGTACTTTACGACCGCACAGTTGCTAACATCTCACATTCCCGCACTAAGCTCAACTGAGACTCAAAGTATCTAGCAGCGACACCCAAACCAGTCTTAGCATGAAGCACGGTATTAATATTTTATCTTGCTGAAGTTGTTTAAGACAGTCGACGACTTTTTGATTACTTACTGGCTTGATTCCTCCTTTTCCATAGTAGAATTTACAGCTTTCGTAGCTTTTCATTTGACTAACCACTGTACTGAGATTTCAGCTAAATAGTATTATAAAAATAATATTATTTCTGGATAAATTATCGCTTCAGCTTTAACAAATGCGTAGGAAATTCTTGGAATCTTCGTGACACTTGATCGCTTTGCAGTGCTGCCGTTGTAAACTCATATACAAGTACAATTTAAAATTTAATTTCCATAGCGGGTTTCGTGGAAATACAACAAACTTAAGGGTTGACCACAATATCCTTTTATTAACCACATCAAGAGTGCGCGAAATGCTTCATTATAAACAGGAAATTATGTCACCCAGTGGTGAGCGTGAACAGGAGCAAATAACAATATGTATAAATTATGCTCGACCGCCACCAAAATGCCAACACCCTTGGAGATAGAGCCACATGAGCCTGTGTGTATGTATATGTATGGATATGTATATGTATGTACGATAGCAATATGAATATGATTTTGCAGATTATATAAGCTTATATGCATATATATATTATGAAGACATATGTATTTAATATTTTATATATACATATACCTATAAGTATGAAATTAATTCAAGATGCGTGACAGTTGACGTATAGAAATCCTTCACAACGCTTCAACTACCGTTACAATACACACATATATACACACAAATATACCTTGAAGTTTGCTGTCAGGTCTTCGAAGTGTAGAAAATTGAATTCAGCCCTCGCAAGCAGCTCAGTTCTTTCCAGGAAATACGCACAACATAACGCTCGAAGACATAATAATTCCGTCGCCTTCAAAAAAGATGAAAATGTATGCCCTAAAAAATGGGGGAAATTAAAAAATGAAAATGAAAGTGAAGCGAATGTGATTCGCTGCGGAACTAAATGCTGAATTATGGCAAATGGTTGAACAAACAGAGCGAAGTCGAAAATTAAAAGAGACGCAACTGTCATCTTAAAGTGACAGCTGCTGGGCGGAAAGTGTATATTATTATTTGTGGGTCTACCGTGTATTTGAGGCAGAAAGGTGGGGTTGTGCTGAGATGTCACGCTGTAATGCTATTATATTTAATTTCATAAAAGAAAAGTAAGTTATTGATGTATGTTTATTTGAGAGGAAAGAACGGAGAGTGAAAGTTACTGTTTGACCAGGTGCAAAGCGGATGTTGTTTGCGAGAAGTTTGCTGTGGCTGGGTAGTACGCTTAAGGGTAAACTGGGTAGTAAAAAATAATAAAAATATTTAGTTAGGTGCTCGAGAGTGTGAGAAGCTGAGTAACGTGTGGAAATATTTTTTTTTAATTTTGAAAAAAATCATAAAATTTAAATAGTATGAAAAATAATTAAATAAAATAATAAAAATAATAAAATAATAATAATAATTAAAATTAACCCAAAAAATAATTAATTACTACATAAATAATAATTACATGCTCATTATTGCCATACAAGTAATCATTACACGCGCATTTTCGTACTTACACCACAGCAATTTAACCATTTTAACGTTTTCTACATATTTCTTCACTTGCAGTACCGGCCGTGGGAAATTTCACAGATGAGTCTGAGCAACGTGCCACGCTGCCACAGGATACACGCGAATATCCATTACAAAGTAATGACTATCATCATGGCCAGAAGAACGGCCTGGGCAAGATGGGCACCATGAATGGCGGCGGCGGCAGCGGCATGAATGATGGCAGCATGGGTGCAGCGGCGGGCGCTGGCCTCGGCTACAACAATGGACCGCAATGTAAGTGACACTGGAATTATAAAAACAACAAGTAGTGGGCGAGAAAAGTGTAAAAATTAGCAGCAGGCAGTTACAGTAGTTAATGATAAAATAAAGTACAAATAAGGAGGGAGGGGGGTAGGTGGAGTGAAATAAAAGATAAAATAAAAAAAAAACAAGGTGCAGTTAGTTGCCAGAGTTAAAAAGCATTTTCATATAACAATTAAGTGCGCGCTTGGCAAATAATTGAAAACATTATTTTCCCTTTAAATATTTATCTTTAATTTAATGACATGAAAGGGTGGCGCAAATTGCAAACGAATACATGCAAACAGACATATGTATATGTATATGAATATATATTCATATAAACTCTCCACATTATACGTATATTCTATATATTTGCCTGCATATTTCCCGCCAACTCCGCAAGCACCTAGCTGCTGCCTTCATTTACTACACATATATATACATACATAAATACATGTATATACATATATTTCTACTTATACATATATCTAAATTGTGTATCCTTTCATTTATTTGCCACAGTAATTGCCCCACGTCCCATCGATCAGGAACCATCGGAGAAATTCTCAATTGGTATTGTTATTGTTATTCTAACGGTGATAATTATTTTCCTCGTTGGCGCCATATTCTGCATTGTGACGCGTACGAAGCGTGCACGCGGCAGCAATGTCCTGGACGCATTCCAATATAGCTTCAATCCGAATACGCTGGGCGGCAATGTGGATAAACATCGACCCAATGGCGGTGGCATTAAGGTAAGTGCTATGCACAGTGCTCACGTATGCACATTTATACATATACTCGTATGCACACTATTAACATGCGTGTACTCCGTATACATATATGTACATGTATATAGTATAAATCTATGAATATATTCGTATATGTGGCTCAATAGTTTTATTGAAGCTCTGTTGACTTAGCTGGCGTTGGTTCTATAGTGTTTGCTTCATAGAAATGCGGTCATTTCATTTAATTTAGTTGAACGGAATTATTTAATTTAATAAAATTTAAATTAAATTGATTAAATTAGACTAAGTCAGAATAAATAAGAATCGAAAATTTAGCGTAATAATTAATCCGTTACTAATTTAAATTAAATAAGTTATTATTAAAGTAATAGCATTACTAAATTAAATTAAAATACTGAGTTGATTTAGTTCTCAATAAATTTAATTGGCATAAAAAATCACGTCAAAATGCAAGAATTAATAACAATTTAATTGAACTTGCTTAAACTGAATTTGGCCACATAAATTTTTTTAATCAAACTAATATTAAATAAATTTAATTGCATTAATTTGACATAGAAGAAAATGAAATAAATTAACCAACCAATGAAATTTAGTTGATATGGAATTAAATTGAATTAAATTTAATATGAATTAATTAAACTAAAGTTAAATTGAATTCGCTTGATAAAATTTTTGTAATTTTAATTAATTTGTCATAAATTTAACGCCGTTAATTTTAAGAATATTTATTAAATTATTAATTTGACTTAGAAAAAATTTAAAAAATCAAAAAATAAATTAAATTAATTTTACATGAAATTAGATCGAACTAAATTTAATATGATGGATTTAAACTAAAATTATATTGAATTAATTCAAACTGAAGTCGCCTAATTAGATTTTTGAAGAATATTTATTAATATTTAATTTGACTTAGAAAAAATTTAAAAAATTAGCAAATAAATTAAATTATTTTACATGAATTTAAATTGAATTCAATTTAATATGACTCAATTATACTAAATTAAAGTAAACCCACTTACGTTAAGTTAAATTTATTTAATTAAATTAGTAAAACAATTGAAAATAAATTTAAGCTAAAAAAAAAAATTTTAATTAACTGAAATGGCTTAGATTTAAACAAATTATAACCATTCAAAACGACGTAAAAACATTAACTAAATTCAATTAATTAATTTAATTTTTAATTAAAGTTAATTTAATTAATTCTAATTAACTTAATTTACATTAATTAAATTAGTTACTTTAAATAATTGCAGTTAATTAATTAAACTAAATTAAGTGGTAGGGAATTTAATTGTTTTAAGTTAAATAAAATTAATTATATAAAACAAAATCTTAATTAAACCGAATACATTTAAATTAAAGTTACTGTAAGTATGTTAATTAAAATCAGTCGAATTGCATTTCATAATTTGATTAGACTTAAATGATGTGGCTTAGATTTAAGCAAATTAAAACAGCCAAAATATATTTAATTTAATAAATTTATGAAAATTAGATTGCATTAAAACAATGTACAAATTAAGTTTGACTGAATTAAGCTAAATAATTGTTTTTCAATTAAAATAAAATTTGAGCGCACTAAGAAATTTAACCACAATTAATTGAAGTTTTAATTACATTGAAATAGTTTCAAATGAAAAAATTAAATTTAGTTGACTTAAATACAATGAAGTTACTTCTAATTGAATTAAATCCAAATAAACAAATTAAATGAAATAATCTAAATGAAAAGAAATAACACCTTATATAAGTAATTTACTTTAATTTAAATTAATTATTGAGATTAAAGCCAACTAAAAATATAAAAACAATAACAAATAAATTTAATTGAGTTGAATTAGCTAATTAATTTACAAAAAATTTTGTTGAAAAAAATTTAATTAAAGTAAATTAAACTACTTTAATTAAAATACATTTTAAGAAGTAAATCAACTAAATTAAGTTATATGAGTTTTATTACAAATTTTTAATTAAGTTAAACCTAATTTTGTAAATATGAAATAAATTAATATAAATTAGTAATTTAGTTAAGTTAAATCAGACAGATATCTTTTTCACCCTTTTTTTCTGCAACAAATCTTAATATGGCTATTTACTGTTTTATATTCTTTTATATTCTCATTTTATTATTTAGCTTTTAACTATAAATTTTTTTTTAACTTAAATATCTCAGAAGTTCTATGAACAACTTTTTTATTTGACGTGATATGCTCACCAAATTTGGTTATGATTATTGCCTAACACAGTGCTACAATCTATGAGCATAACATTTAAATCGGAACAATATAGTTAATAACTGACATACAAAACGACCGTACCAAATCAAGAAAAATATCTTTTTATACCATTTTAAGCTAAAAAAATTCATCTGTGTAGGTTATTATAGCTTCTTTGCAACCAAAGATAACGTTTTTAGTTATTTTAAGTCAACTGTTTCCATTTACATACATTAAATTTTACTTTGTTCCATTTAATTTCATAGAGTTTCTTGTATTATTGTATCTACGCTGTACTTCATACGGTTTCCTGTCCCATTTTAATTCCATTTTCTATTTTCTTTATTACTACTCTTGTTGCTCTAGTTATTAAGTTGCGCTTTTAGTTGTGAACACTCGTGGTGGATCGTATATGACCAGCGGTTTCTACCCTCACAGAGTTTAGCGCTTCGCTGCAAAGCGTATACTTTACTTTAATGCATTTTAGTGGCTTTATAGCGGTAATTTTTTTCTTTCCTTATGCTCCACGTTGCACTACTTAAGTTAAGTTCGCAGGATTAAGCACTGCATTAGCTTCAACGTCCAAAGTTAGCTAATGACAATGTTGTAGAAGTGAAAAATTACAACAAAAAAGTGTGTAATGTTAGTGCAACGTTTGAGAATTTTTATGACGAATAGAAATTGTTGGAGAGATTAGCTGCTGGCGCATTGATTGACTGCATTCTTGTGCTAATTCTGAAATGAAAATGTTCTTTTCATTAAAACTGTTGGAATGCTAAATTAATTACGTGAAGTAAACTCAAGTGGGAGAGAGGGAGAGGTTAGTTTAGATTATGTGAAAAGGTCGATCGGAAATCAATTTAATAGCTACAAACCCCTGTATATCGTGCTACCATAATGCTCTTAGTTTTGTTCGAAAAGAATCACAAAAATCGATAAAGCGCTTTGCGAGTACCACAAATTTGTTGAGGCGAGAGTTATCAATTCTGGTTACTTCGCAAGTTTATAGAACTGAAAAATTGCTTCAACCTTGGGTGACTTATAGTAAATAGAGCGCAATATTCTTGAGAGCCATCAAAGTTTCTGATATAAAAGATTTTTTTATTTTTTGTCAAATACATCTTTTCAGCTATTTTTTACGTACTTTATATAGTAGATCTCTACACTTCAATTCAGTCTTAAGTTCCTCAAAAATATTCAGCCATTAATTTATAAAACAATTTTCATTACTAACCTTACTAATATCAACTTTCTTATTTTCTTTCTTCTTCTATATAGGGCAGCGTCGATGATAATGACTCGATTGGCAAGAATAGTCTCTATCATGAACCTTTCAATGTGAATATGTATACCAGCGGCGTTAACGGATACGCGGCCGTAAATGATTTACAATGCAATATGACGCCCGACTATACAGGTATGTACAGCTAATACAAACAATTCTATAAAATTTCTAGCACATAAACAGTACAGCAACTACAAATGCAGTAAAGTATAGCATAAAGTAAAAGGCAAAAGTACAGTGTAAACAGCAGGAAAATCGTAGAACCGCAGGCACCACAATTGGGTTGCTTGGTCGGTTACTTTGGTGGAGTAATAAGTGGTCAAAACAAGTGATGGGGGCATTTCGAAATGTTAGTGCTGACACATTTCGAAAAAGGGTGGAAATATTGAAAGTAAAGTGTGGAGTAAAGTGCGGCAAATAATTAAATGGAAATGGTAAAGGAAGGTATGGTGAGTTATGGAAGGCCGAAGTAGCAGTAATGGCAGTAATTCCAGCACGCTTCAGCTGGAGAAGCCACAAAGTGCGTTAATAAGGTGTTGGGTGAGCATATGTAATGAATATGTGGGTACATAACTACAAAGAAATATATAAAAGGCATATGTACAACTTTGGCACTTGGGTCTAGACATTTAGAGGGTAATTTGTAGTGCTAGGGTTGCCATCAAACAGTATTAAAAATAATTTTAATATTTTAAATGCGGTAAAATATAAACCTTTTAAAGTTTTAAGAAATCTTTATTAACTTTATGATATTATCTTAAACCTCATAATCTATAAAAAATAACCGCTGACGGTTAGAAACTAATTGACAACCCTTTCTGAAAACCCATTTCAAATAACTTATCATAAAAATATTATTTTTTTTAACAATTTCGAAAACTATTAACCATGGAAATTAAAATTTTTACAGAAAAAGTTCAGAATTTTTACTTACATACATAAAATCTCATATTCTCTAAAAATTATTATTTAAAAATATCCGCTGACATCCAAAAACTGATTTGGTCACTCACTTCCAAAGTTCTTAATTTCCGATAAAATCCTTTAAAAAAATCGTGTTTAACAATTTGGATGATTATCGACTTATTATTTTTTAACAATTATCGATTGAAATTTGCGAGCGTCGAGAGTAGTCAAATAATGGTTTTCAAACTCTCTCCAAGTAAATGAGCTCTAAAACCACTCCTGTAAATACAGTGTCTATGTTATAAGCCATAATGCATATTAAATTGATAAGGAACCATGTATAAATAAGGTTGATGGACTGATCTCCTTGACAAAGCTCTAAAACAAAACCCCAAAAGACCGCTGAAATTTTGTTCTATGTTTATCGAAGGAGTGTTTTCAGCCTATCTTTGAATCCATATATCCGAAAACAGATTACATTTCCTCCGTAGCTTCCTGGAGTTCATAAGAATGCTTGGCTCTTGTGAAAAAGTGTGGTAGAAGGGAGACATAATAGGTCTTAGGTCTCAGTGCAAGCCACGATTCGTTTCAATTAATCACTCTTTTACTCAAGAGTAAATTAATAAGAAGAGAACTCCAGAGGTATATTTTTATACTCCATAAATTTATCTTAAGTAGAAGGGAGAAAAAGTAACCTATTCATATATTATATATAAAAACATCCATCTGGAGTTATCATTCATACTTCTGCTAGTGAAAATTTTAAACTCGGAATTATGTCTCTTATACTCAAGAAAAAAAAATTATAGAGAATACTAAAACTCCTCTGAAGTTCGCTTTCATACTACATAGAAAATTTCTGATGTTGAAGATTTTGAACTCTTAATCTCAAGAAAAAAATATGAAGAATACTAAAACTCCTCTGGAGTTCTATTTCATACTTCTATTGGCAGTTTATGATGTTGGAAATTTTGAAATCACAATGAGTTTTAAGCTCAGAAGTGCTTCCTATATTATTCATAGTTTTAGAGGATTAGCGGTTATTACTTGTTCTATCACTTTTGCTAGGGTCTTTTCATATGAGCTCTTTTCCATACATACTCTCGAAAGTAAGAAAGCGCTGCTGGAACAGACCTTGTCTTAGAATGTCAGAGTGTGGTCCACAGTTTCTCTGTATTTCCCAACACATTGGCAACTCTTCCTTTCTAATAGTAGCAGTTAAAGTCGGAAGGGTTCCATATAAATAAAAGTATGCTTGCATATGTTTTATGTACGGAAATTGCCTTTAAGACATTGCAGATTACTTAAAGGCAAATGAATAAGTAGAAAATTTTCCCCACCACTGCGCCCTTACCTTGTCGTGTATTTACTTAATTTGCAGACTATTTACTCATCTACATTTTGTGCTCATTTCAACCTTCACAAACACTATCATTCAATTTACTTTACCTTTCTTCGCACTTTCAATAAACTCATGCCACCGTGCGTCTTTATTTTCCAGATGTACCCGAAGGCGGCTATGCCGTGCCACACATGCAGGATTATATGCCCGCCACAAAGATGTCTATGGCCGGCGGCGGTGTTGTCGGCGGTTATGTGAATGTGCGACGCACACCACCACCGCCGTTGAGCGCAATATTCCCCCGACCACCGTCCGTGCCGCCGCCACCGATGGAGAAGTACTACGCCACCACAGCGATATTCAAGCCAATCAAAGGACCCTCAGGCGGCAGCAACTGCGGCACAGTAGGCAGCAATAGTGGCGGTGGCAGCAGCACACACAAATCCGGCAGCAGTGTGGGAAAGTGTGGCAGCAATAGTGGCATCAGCAGCAGTAGTGAACACAATAACTACGATGACGGTATGGGCACCATGAATTCACAATCGACAGCGCCGATGTTAAATGCCTACAATGGTGGCGGCGGCGGCGGCGGCGGCGGTAATGGTGGAGTAGGTGTTGGCATTGACTCAATGCAATTTCAGCGCGCTAGAACCTACAACTTCCGCAGTTATCCAGACAATCTTTAGTTTGAAACATTGACGTTGCGCGGCGGTGTGAATGGCGAGGGCGACAGCGGCAGCAGCAGTGGCGGCGGTGGAGTGAATGTTGACAGTGTTGACGTTGATGCTGAGGTCGGTGGTATTAATGGTGGTGTGGGCATGTTGAATGCGGGTAACCGTTTGGAATGCGTGAGCGGTAGTATTGGTGGTGGTGGTCAGAAATATATGCGTACGGGTTTGATCAGCACAATGCCGAAGAAACAACAGTTGCAGCAGCAACAAAAGCAACAACAACACCTTGGCATCGGCGGCACGATGTTGGCAACAACGAAGCCCAAGTACAGCTTAACGCTGCTGAATGTGAAAAATCACCAACACAACAACAATAATAGCAGCAATATTAATAATAATAACAACAACAACCACAACGGTAGCATGGGTAGCACTGTTGGCAACTGTCAGTTGCATCCGCACCGCAAATCACCACATCCGCATCTACAGCCGCAATACGCTTACTACCAACAGCAACAACAACAACAACAGCAGTTGTTGCAAAATCAGCACTTACCACAAAGCAAACGCGAACAGCAGCGGCAACAATTGTCACAATCATACTATCACCCGCCACCGCCGCCACGTCATCAGTTACGTGTTTTGCGGCTATCGTCGGCACCCACGGGCGCGCCTGAAGTCACAACATCAACAAACCCACCGGCAAATGCTGCAACACGACGTGGCGATGGCGTCGCTTCTGCTAGTGCAGGTGGTGTTGGTGATAGAAGTAGCGGTGAATTCACATCACGCAACTCTACACACTTGGAGCAATCGCTGGCGCTGACACACACCACGCCTACTGCTGCAACAACAACACCAAATACAAATGATTGTAATAAACATTTAGTTGGCACAAACACAGTGGCGTGTGATGATAATAGTAGTGATGATGCATCGGCAACACCGGTAACAGATGCAGCTGCCGCAGCACTAACAACAAAAACAGTTACTACAACAACAACAAAGCCAATCGGCGAAACACCGATCGCGGGCGCAATGTCAAATGTTTTACATGGCGGAAAAGAGCAACAACAACAACAACAACAACAACAATTATTACAATTACAACAACAAAAAGCAAATAGGCTGTGGTATCATTGATGAAAAACCAATAGATTTGAGGTAAGTTACCTACATACATACGTACATATATGTTAGTTGAGTTATGGAGTTAGTACCAAATAACTTTTGATTATTTTATAGGTTATGTAATTTATAAGAATACGCAAATTTTGTTATTTTTAAATTGTTTTCTTAGTTTTGCAAATTTTCCACGAGCCAGTTTGCGTTGGCATGAAGAATATCACAGATTCCTGCAACATTTAATGCAAAACCATCTTCTAAAATTTTTCCTGAAACTGGACTAATTTTATTAAAGAAATTTCATATTTTTTAAATTTATCAGAACTAAACTTAAAAATACTTAAAATCCTGAAATCACGGTCCTACATAAAATAAGAAAACGTTTTTTAAAAGATTCTATGGGGAGTGAGGTACAAAATTTTATTCGAAATGTTAATTTTTCATTTCCGTCATTGATCAATAGCATTGCTTCTATTGGTGTTGACGACGCTGCTCGAATCAAATATTTTTAAGACTTTTCAAATTTCGATGATGTACTCCACAGACCATGTTTTCCAACTCTAACTACAAATTATAGTTCAATGGAATCAAATCTGTACTTCCAAATGGGCTGTTATCTCCAGCAATAAAACCAGGATGATCCAATGATCTCTATCGAAGAGAGTATTGCTTAATTACTTTATAAAGAATTCTAAAATATCCGAATGGTAAATTTTTGCCCCTTTTATTCAAAAATGAAGAGGTACAACGAGTTTGCAGGTGACTTTCCACAAAACCATTACAGCAGTTGTTTGATGATCACTTTGAACGTATGGAACAATATTTTTCGGGTCTTTGAAAGTTTTTGCGTACATTTTGTAATTGTCTCACTAAAAACATCAACAGTGAAAGTTTTTTTCTGTAAAGAAGATAATTTCATGGTCGCTGACCGCGTGCCAACTTAGAAATGCATCTGTTGAGCCTAATTTGCGTCAAACGCGTTGTCACACCATTTTACTAGTTTATCGATGGCAGGCTTTTAGGTGGAGATCATCTAGAAGAGGTCGGCACATTGTTCGGGTCGATATATCAATTTCTCTACACATCATTTTATGGTTTCTAAGAGAATTTTTGTGGATGTGTCCTCTTTTTTTTTTTTTTTTGATTTTTATGGCTGTCATCTTAATATTATTGGAAACCTAAAACACTATGTCCTACCCATCTTGTAAATTGATTTTCAAATTCAAAAACGTTCTTCTGAAATATTTTGCTCATGATATCTATTAAAAAACATGCGGTACATTCCGACAACTCTTATAGACACTATAAATGTCGCAATGGAAGTAATCTTATAAGTGATCTAGCCTAAAATCAGTAACCTTGGCTGTAACTCACTCACTAAAGCTACCTTTAATCTCCTTCTATACCTGAAATTTGCATACATCTTAAGAATTTAAACGATTTATTTTCTTATCTCTCTGTTTTCAGCGCTTATCTCTCTTTCTAAGCAAAGGCAGCAGATTGAAAGCAATACGCCAGTGAATTCTACGATTAGTACATAGCACACATAGACAGTTCTTTTGAAACATCACATACCATAGATCAAAAAAGGCGGCAGTGAAGGCAAAGGATACGCAGGAAAAATAGCTACAAAAGCAAAAAATGTAAGTTATAAACCGAAACGGAGAGAAAACTTGAAGACACCGACGAAAAAAACAAAAAAAAAAAAAACTAAACGAACTGCAGCAACAAAAAAGTACGTAAAACAAAAAAGCAACATATAATGAAAATGCGTGCGAAAAGCGGAAAAGCAAACTCTGTAGAGAACAAACGCCTACTGAACAAAAAAGAAACCCAAACCCAAAACAACATACACAAGCAAATATTTAGCGTAGCTCACAACTGTTAGAAACCAAAAATCAACAGAAAGAAAAAAATATCACGAAAACGAAAAAGTACGCTTAGAAGCGTAAAAGTGAATTAAAACTGAAATGCCAACGAAATTGAAGAATTACGCCTAGAAAGTAGCCAGCAAAGCAAATAAGTAAGTGATGCACCGAGAGAAATTGCAAAAGCAATCACAAAAGTGCATGAGGACATGAGCATGTAGCGAAAGCTGTACGAAAACGAAATGGCAAACAAAAAATTTACTTGTAAATATTTAGTAGCAAACAGAGTCGTGAGTAATTTGTAGATTAAAAAAAAGAAGAAGAAAATATTTGAAAATATAATGTAAAATGAAAATATTAGCAATATTTGAACGACTCGCTCGCTTTTTTGTTGCATACTTTTTGTTACAAACTGATTTTGTTTTAGCTAAATTTTAATGAGCATAAGATACTACCGAATTTAAGAGCAGTAAATGAGTAAAACAATGTTAATGATAAATAATTAATGCAAATAAACACTAAAGTAAAAGTATTTAAGATGCAGTAATTGAAAAAATAAAAGCAAAAACTGAAAACCAAGTGATTTAGCGCACTCAAACACTATTACAGGTAAGATTTTAGATAATACTATACACCGAACGGCATACATAAAGAAATATACGCATATACACTAAAGCGCGAAATAAAAGCAGCAATGTTGAAAATTAATAGAAAAGGCATTAAAAGAAATTTTAAACGATTGAAACTGAAAATTGTAATTGTAAAATCCCAAAAAAACAAAAAATATTAAAAATGAATAAAAATATTTTCAAACAACAAGAAATTACCTACACCACGACAACAAAGTATTCAAACCTTTTCAAGAACTGGGAACCGACTTAAACCCGAAATTATTATTGAAATTGTACGCATTGATATACATAGCTTTGCCTTGCTCAAACTCATTTCCATTTACTTAAGTATGTATGTTTACAAAAATTGGCAACTCTACACATCTGCTTACGTACCAGATATAACCAGTATTTATGCAATACTGTAAATTTCTGTCGAATTTTGCAATTCTGTTCAAAAATTGCATTTTTGTTCAAAATGGAAATGGTTCTTATGGAAGAAAAATTTTACCAACAATTCCTGAACTAAATTTTTTTTTTTTAATTCAAATACCATTAACAAATGTTCCTAACCTCATTTCTATTATTTGCAATGGATATTGGGATTTGAGAAACATTTTCGTTTTGATGCAAAAAAAAATATATATATACATATATACATTTTCACAACTTTTTAAAAAATTTTCCGAAATTCATTATTGTGAAATAACATAACGGTGTTCGAAAACAAAAAAAAAAATTCACCCGTTTAAGTTTTTCGAAATTCAGTGTTCTGAAACAACGGTGCCAATATAAAATTAAGTTTTGAATAACAAATAAAATTTTAAGGGCTTCAAATTTCTCAGAAATTTTGAAACAGCGGTGTTGGAAAACAATAAAAAGTTTCTAAAAAGTTTCCACCATTTCAAGAGTTTCTGAAATTCAGTATTCCGAAACAAACAGTGTTCGAAGAGTATACGGAATTACGTTTTGAATTGAAAACAAAGTTTGAAATATTTCCAAAATGTTTCAGGGCTTCAAAGTTTTTCGAAATTTATTCTTATAAAGTTCTAAATATTTTATTGCAATTGAAAATTGTGTTTTGCGTATCCGTTTGTCTATTAATTAAAAATGAAATATTCCCAATTTTTTAAAATACTTAAGAATTTTGTTCTTGGAAATTAACTGAAAATTGTTTACTCCTTTTAAAATATCTACAAATTTCTAATTTCTTTAAAATTTTTAAGACAGTTATCATATTTTTTGCTTAAAACTTAAAATCGAAAACTTTTAAACTCTCCAAAAAAAGTCTCTAAATGTGTTTAACATTTTCATCAAGCTTAACATAAAGCTCCGATACAAAAAATTAAAAAAAAAGATTTCAAATTTTCAAATATACCTATGAACTTTGTTTGAACTTAAGACTAACTGCTCATTTCAAAATTTCTACCAAATTTTAATGTTTCTGAAGTTTTTAGAGCTTCAATCTCAACTTTTGCTGAAAAAAATCACAAGTGATGAAACTCTCCAAAAAAGTTTTTTAATATGATTAACAAAATATAAAGTTATACTGTATTTGAAACTAGAAACAAAAATTTCGAAACTCTTCACAGAAAGACTCCAATTCAAAACTGTTTACAAAGAGCTGTAAAATAAATAACTAGTTTCTCTAAATTATATAGTATTCAAAATTGCAGTCGCAAGTTTTGAAACTCTCAGAATGGTTGGTAAATATTTTTAAACTGTACAAAATAATTTTTCAAAATTTCCAAAAACCATTTTAGCAAATTCTTTTAAAAAATTTCAGATTTACTTGCAAATTTGTTTTTAAACCTTAAATTTCGCAGAAAAGTCTAGAAAAATTTTGTTTGTTGAAAAACGTTTTCGAAAACCGTACATTATTTACCAGAAAATTACATGTTATTATGGGCAAAGATTTTTCTATTTACGGTTCCAATAAAATGCGTACACAGTGAATATATTAAAGCATTCCCAACCTCTAAACCTGATCAGTTGTGCGAAATAAAAAATCACATTAAAATATTCAAAATCGTTCGTTGAAAAAGATTATACGCGAAAATTAGTAGATAAGGTTGTACATTTCCTGTATTTACAAATCACTTTTTATATAAAACGATCTCTTGCACTGTATATAGACCTAACATATATACATAGATTTGTACATCTGACTACACTGAAGAAAATTAGCACTTACAAACTACTAGAAAACGCATGCTAAACTGTCTGAAAATACCTTTGAGAGTGTCCTTGCTGCATTAGAGCCCCTTAACGTACATACATACATATAATCTATATATAACTTTACAGAACTTTCAAAACAAGAAAAGACTAAAAAATTCGAACGCACTGAGAAAAATTGCAACATTTCCTTTCCGAATACCTTTGACACACATTGTAAATAATTAAAGAACAAGCGCCGTAAATTAAAGATAAGAGAATAAGACGCTTCAGCTATTGTTAGAAACGAGAAAACAATTATGAAGCATACAGTGCGTACGAAAAGTACCCAGGTTATGTTTTCATCAATGGTTTGTGATTAAAAGATTATAAAACAAAAATTAA